TATATATATTAGGGCCCAGGTCTACCCTTGTTCCTGGGGTGCATCTTGAGGACAGTTTCTGGTCAGCCAGCTAAAACATTGTTTGTTCCTGTGCTCCCTCTGCCCCACCTGGTGATTAGCTGTAGGGCATTGCTGACTCCATCTTTGGTGTGGTAATTTCCCACCTGCCTGGGCAGAAATCCTTGTGCAGCAGCGAGGTATATAAGGATTTCCCCAAGGTTGAATAAACGGCATTTGGCTGATCTTCTTTCAAATGACCCAGGTCTCTTTGTGTGTTCTTTCAATCGCCAGGCCCTTGCCCGACTCGCTTATACGAACTGTACTGAGGGGGGTAACACAAAATCGGGTGTTACAATATATATATATGGTTATATATTAATATATTCTTATATATAAATATACTTATATATTTTTATATACAATATAATCTTATACTCATATTTGTATATAAGAATTTACTTATATATTAATATAGTCTTTTACATTTTATATATTCTTATATATAAATATTAATATATTATTTATATATAACTATATGTGTGTGTGTGTGTGTGTGTGTGTGTGTGTGTGTGGTGGCACATGTCTTTAGTTCCAGTACTCAGGAGGCAGAGGTAGGAGGGTCTCATCCCGCTTGGTCTATATGTTGAGCTCCAGGACAGCCAGGGCTACATAGGGAGACCCTGTTTCAAGAAAACGAACGAACCAAATAAATCATTTTATTAATCAGTTAAATTATATTAGCCAAATAGGTTAGATTTAATTTCTGTACCTCCAAGTTTCAGATGCACAGGAAGAAGACAGGGCCAACCATAGCTTTACTGCCAGAGCACGGAACAGCCGGTATAGCCTAACATTTCACAGTCCTTGGTTTTTGTAGAGAAGGGGCTCAGGTGGCCCAGACTGGCTTTCCACTCCTTATGTAGCCAAGTGTGACACTTTCCCCCCATTTTTGTTTTGTTTTTGTTTTTCCAGACAGGGTTTCTTAGTTTAGCCTTGGCTATCCTGGAAATAGCTCTTGTAGACCAGGCTGACCTGAAACTTGGAGATCTGCTTGTCTCAGCCTCCCTAGTGATGGGATTAAAGGCATTTGCCACCACCACCCTGATGACATTGAATTCTTGATCATCTTGCCTGCATCTCCCAAGTGTTGTAATTATAGACATGTACCACTGGGCCTAGCTTAGGCACAGTCTACACAGGATGGCCCCTGTGTAGAAACTAAATTCTATTTCTACCTTTAAGTTTCAAGAACCAAGAACATATTTTTAATTAGAGTAAAAGAGTAACAGTTTTTTTTCCTCTCTCTCTCTCTCTTTTTGATATGGGGTCTCTCTGGCATGTAACTCGAGGTGGCCTGGACTTTACTAAGTAGCCCCGGCTGGCTTTCAACTCTTGATAGTTCTGCTTCTCTTGGCCAACTGATTGGACTATAGTAAGTGTATTCTTTTTACTAACTCCCACTCTTTTATTTTTACAAGTCTGTAGGCAATTCAGCATGATTAAGTTTAGAGGGTGTGTGAAAAAACGGAGCATAATCTAGCTGGTGTCCCTGTTATCTTTACTTAAGGGATTGCTAAACTGGAGGACCAGATCCGTCTTTACAGTCAGTCATCTAGGGGAAACTTCCATGCAATTCTAAGGGTTACTCCAGGGTCACTAGTAAGTGCGGTGAGTGGTGCACTGGTGCGGCACGGAGCAGTACAGCACGCCTGTTCCCCAGGCCTTGCACCACTGGGTATGGAAGAGACAAAAGAAACGCTCTGGCCTCGCCCTTGAGGAACTTAGAAGTCTGATTGGCAAGGCAGGACTTGTAAAAATTAAAACGCAATCAAGTGAAGGAAAAACAAAGAATCCACTTCAGTATAACAATCGCTTATTTGTGCTTTACAGAGCAGCAGCGTTAACTTGAAGTTTTAAACCAAGAGCCGGAGGAACAGACAAAAAAATAAAAAAAGCCAAACTAATATGGAAGAAAGGAGGTGTCCTCGAATGGGAAATGCCAAGTAAGGGTCTAACGTGGGTGGAGGGGAGCCTTCTCTGGGCGACGGGGGCAGTGGAGAGCGGTCACCTTAAAGCCGGAAAGGCCGGTGGCCACTGCGGCCGGTCGGTTTAACCGAAAGGTGACTTCCTGAGCCTCCATTTGCGCGGCGGGGCCCAGAGCGGAGGTCGGCCCGTGGGGGCGGGGCGGGTCGTGCGCGCGCAAGCGCGCTGGCGTGCCTCGCCTCGGCAGGGGGCGGGGCGCCTATATTACGTGCGCGGCGCCGCCCCTGCGAGAGGACGTTGCGTGCTCGCTCGCGCCAGGCGAGTCTCCGCGTCTTGCCTCGCGAACTCGGTGAAAGGAATTGGCGCCGTTCGACACCAGGCGGGTCCGCTCTGCAGCACTCAGCCATCTCCAGCCGCAGCCGCCGCCCGGGCCGACCAGCAGCCGCCGCCACAGGCCGAGGGAGCCAGCAGTCAGCGGTGAACCGGGGCCCTCACCATGAGTTCATCTCCGGTTAATGTCAAGAAGCTGAAGGTGTCGGAGCTGAAGGAGGAGCTCAAGAAGCGGCGCCTCTCCGACAAGGGCCTCAAGGCCGATCTCATGGATCGACTCCAGGCCGCGCTGGATAACGAAGCCGGCGGTCGCCCCGCCATGGAGCCCGGGAACGGCAGCCTCGACCTGGGTGGCGATGCGGCCGGGCGCTCGGAAACAGGCCTCGAGCAGGAGGCCGCGACCGGCGCCGAAGACGACGAGGAGGAGGAGGGCATCGCCGCTCTGGACGGCGACCAGATGGAGCTGGGCGAGGAGAACGGGGCGGCGGGGGCGGCTGACGCGGGAGCGATGGAGGAGGAGGAGGCGGCGTCCGAAGACGAGAACGGGGATGACCAGGGCTTCCAGGAGGGGGAGGACGAGCTCGGCGACGAGGAGGAGGGCGCGGGCGACGAGAACGGCCACGGGGACCAGCAGTCCCAACCGCCGGCGGCGGCGCAGCAGACCCCCCAGCAGCGCGGGGCGGGCAAGGAGGCCGCGGGCAAGAGCAGCGGCCCCACCTCGCTCTTCGCGGTGACGGTGGCGCCTCCCGGGGCGAGGCAGGGCCAACAACAGGCGGGAGGTAAGAAGGCGGAAGGCGGCGGGTGAGTGTTGCGTTGTAGGTGCGTGCGGCGGGAGGCCCGCGTGGGGACCGTGCCCCAGGCCTGCCGGGGCCCCTAGGGGCAGCCGCCGCGGGAGGGGGGCGGGGGAGCCCGGGGCCGCCGAGAGGATCTGCTCGCCATGCCGGCGGCGCCTCCATTATGTATGTCGGGCGCCGGGGAGGGGGGGAGCTGCAGCTGCCGTGGTGGGGGGGGGAGTGGAGGCGGGCGGGAGCGCCGGCCGCTGGAGCGCTGCGTGCGCGCGGTTCGGGCACATGTCTGGGTGGGGGGAGGGGGAAGGTCCCGGGGCGGGCGGGCTTTGGCGGGTGAGCGCCTCGGTATTGTGCAAGGCTGCGCAGGGCCTCGGTGTGACGTCACTTCCGGCGGGAGGCGCCGGGCGCGGAGAGCGGGGCGGAAGCTCAGTACAATGCGGCGGCGGGGCACGCGGGCTCGTGATGGGGGAGGGGAGGGGGAGCCCACGCTACCCCTCCCCCGCTCGCGCGCGGCGCACGTGGGGCCGGACGGCAGCGTCGCCCTGTTCTCTTCCCTAAATGCCTTCTGGAAGGTTACCTTAGGCTCGCAGAAATTAGTGTCTTTGAACTGCGTCACTGTCTCCAGGCCAATTTCGGGCCGATAGGTTTTTCTTTTTTTCTTTATTTTTTTTAATTCGCTTTCGTTTCGAGGGTTAAAGTCGTAGTTCCAGTGCGGAGAAAAAAAAACAGCTTTTGAGGGTCGAAACAGAAAAGTACATTTCACCACTAGTCTGCGGCCTGGTTCTTAAGGCGGTGATCTGTGTCGTTGTAGGAGACGGCAAAACAGAACAAAAAGGAGGAGATAAAAAGAGAGGTGTTAAAAGACCTCGAGAAGATCATGGCCGAGGATATTTTGAGTACATTGAAGAAAACAAGTACAGCAGGTAGAGGATCCTAACCTAGTTTCCATTTGAACCCCATTCGTTCTGCACGGTGGGAACAGCTTTATCAGGAGACAATTGTGTCTTTCAGAGCCAAGTCTCCTCAGCCACCTGTTGAAGAAGAAGACGAGCACTTCGATGACACAGTGGTTTGTCTTGATACTTGTAAGTGAAGCGGGCTTTCCCGCTCTTTTCTCAGGTTTTTAGGTGTTAGGAAAGGTGGTGATCTCAAAGTGGAGAAACCCCGTTAGAGATTTAAAGCAGGAAGGTAACAGTCATGTTCAGGATACAGTAGTTTATTATTTAGCACTACTTCGTATTGGTAATTTTAAAACTATTAATTGGTAATATTTTTTATGACTTGGAATTTCAAGTACTTAGGGATTTAAAACTAATACCGAATTTTGTTCAGCTTTCAGAAACTTGTTTTTTAAAAACCTGCCTGTAACTTGACCTTAGGTAATAAGATATTTTTTTATTTTTGTGGAGCTATATTAAGTGAGCTATTTGGGCTAGTTGAATACTTAACTAATGATTTTCCCATTAGCACACAAGTATATCCCCTATTCTAAGGATTGTAATATTACCTTTTCAATAACTGCTCTTTTGTTCTCAATTCCAGTTCAGTAGCTGCTGCTTTAACATAAGTTGATTTCTTCCAAAGACCTGGGGCAGCAGCAGTGGGCTATCTGAGCCACTAGCTTTCTTCAGCAGCGAATGGTATCAATGGCAGCGCTGTAAATATGCTACTTTACCCAGTTGGGTTGCAATTGAGTATGAAGAAGTATTGCAAACCATGAAATGGGCTTTAGCTGTCAGATTTGTATTTTGATCTTTTAAAAAGTTCATTAGCTTAGTATTTGGAAAGGATGTATAAACATTTTGGTGTGAGCAGAACAAAAAAAAATCAGTGCCTCAATGAAGAGTTAAAAGGTTTCACATGGTGGAAGGGGTTAAAACTTGGATTCTCATTTTCCTTTATGCAGATTGTGTTCAGAGTCCTGAGAGTTAATTCAGTGTAAGGCTTGGGCTGGTTTCTAACTACATAACCTTTTACAGTCAGTGAAGTCTTGACAGGAGGGAAAAAAGAGCTGATTTGGAAGTTTTGTTTACTGAACTGTAAAAGAATTCACAGGGTGCTTAAACCATGATTGAAGAGAACATTGCTACTTAGGAAGAAGAGTTTTAGATCCAGTCAGCCAGGATTATTTGTTTTAAACAAATAATTGTCAGCAATCAGGAATTTTATGAACAAAGCTTGAATTTCAAACTGCAGATGAATTCAGTAACAGCCGGCAGCTTTCTAATATAACATAAGAAAGCTGCATGATGAGCGCTAGTGACCCAGAGACAAATAGGTTCAAGACTGGATTTGTATAATCCACGCAGCAGTTTAATACCTAATTGTGATACCTTACCAGGAAGAGTAAAGCAGACCTAAAAGGCTACACATTAACACTTTAGACCGCCAAGATTCTTGGTTGAACTGGCTTACAAGTTTTCAGAAGTGAGTTGATTTTAGAACCCTGGTGTCAGTCTACCAAGTACAGAATGAAGAGCTCTCTTAAAATAGTTGGTGGTGGCTTCCCTTCAGTTTTTATTGTCACTGGTAAATTCTACCTGGTTCTGGCATACTTCACTTTGATTTCCTGCTGTCCCTCTACTGCTTGCCTCTAAATCAAGGTAAAGAGCAGAGCAGGTATGTATTGATGTTGCATTCTCAATCATTTTACATGCTTAGAGCGCTTGAAACATCAGCATTGATTGGCAGTTGACTTTGTAGTGTATGATTAAGTCTGCCTTGGTGGGAGTGGGGCTCAATGAGAGTAGGAACAAGAGCATGATATAAAAACAATTCAGTAATAAATGAAAAACATCTGAATTTTTTCTACATAGCTGAGATATACTGGATGTCAAAAATAACTTGGCATTTGATATAATTTCAGATAACTGTGATCTGCATTTTAAAATATCAAGAGACCGCCTCAGTGCTTCTTCCCTTACAATGGAGAGTTTTGCTTTTCTTTGGGCTGGAGGAAGAGCATCTTATGGTGTGTCAAAGGGCAAAGTCTGTTTTGAGATGAAGGTAAATCTAATTTTGTGGCTTCCCAGCAACTTTGTATTGGTTGATGGAACGGGTCAGAGGGACCTCTTAACGTTTCCTCTGAAGTAAGCAGGTCTTAGGAGACTGTTCCATTACATTTTTTAATATCAAGAGTATACAGAGCTAGTTCACTTAAGGTATTTCTGTAAGTTTACATTAGTTCAGACCTTTGTTAGTTCCATGTATCAGCTTATTAGTTCTGAGAGGGGAATGTGATTAGCCTAAAGATTGAATTTTTTTCTTTGTTTTAATAGCAAGGGAAGAAGTTGGCCCATAGCCCAAATGAAATAAAGAGTTCGAGGAATTGCCTTTGGGTTTTCAGCTTAATCATGTAGCTATTTGATTTTTCAGGTAACGGAGAAGATCCCAGTCAGGCATTTATACACAAAAGATATTGACATACATGAAGTCCGCATTGGCTGGTCCCTAACTACAAGTGGAATGTTGCTTGGTAAAGTTTATATTTGAGTACTGCAGAAGCGGGAATGTTTAGGAACTGGTTACAGTATTAAGTGAGACTTAGAAAGTTTTGATCTGATTTTGCCCATTTAGTGTTACTATTTTACAGTTAGAAAGTACAAGCAAGGATACTTAAGCTTTTTTCCTCTTGTCCTTCTGTAGTTTTAAAGATGGTTAAAACAGACTACCTTTGACACGTAAATTATCAGTTTACTGTTTATATCATAGTGGACTGTAAGTCAGTTGTTAAGCATTTGGTAAAGAGATGGCTGTCAGATTGTCATGTGTTCATTGATGCTTTTTTAGCATTCATTTTAAATAGGTTAGGTGGGTCTGAACCGCCTAGGTCCTAATTTTAAGTTTTTGGGGTTTTTTTCCTTTTAGGTGAAGAAGAATTTTCTTACGGATATTCTCTGAAAGGAATAAAAACATGCAACTGCGAGACAGAAGATTATGGAGAGAAGTTTGATGAAAATGATGTGATTACATGTTTTGCTGTAAGTTAAATTCTCTGTAAATGCCAGTAGCTGTGTGTATAAATTAAAGAAATTTTATCAGTGTGATTATATGCTAGATCTAGGTTAAAGACAGGAGGGGCCTAGGAAAAAGAGGCTTAGTGGGTAAAGTAGTACCTGAGTTTGGATACCTTGCACCTATGTAACAGCACAGCAGTATCTCAGTTTGGGTGGGGACCGAGGAGAAACAGCCAGTAGAGTTAAAGCCTTCAGCTGTGGGTTTAGCAACAGGAATAGCCCTGACGGAGCCCTGGCCTCGAAAAGCAGTTGAATTGGAGGAAGACACATTTCAGGGATCACTAACACAATTTGACATAAAAACAGGAATGGTGTGAAAAATATCCTCTAAGTCATGGATCATGTCTTGTGTTTATGAACATTAGTTTACATTTAGCTTAAACATGTTAACTGTGGGGGGATTATACTTCTGTGTACCTTGACAAGTTTAGAAAGCTCAAAAATAGATTCAAGCTGATTATAAAAATTCTGTTCAACAGAATTTCGAAACTGATGAAGTTGAACTCTCCTATGCAAAGAATGGACAAGATCTTGGTGTTGCCTTCAAGATCAGTAAGGAAGTTCTTGCTGACCGGCCACTGTTCCCACATGTTCTCTGCCATAACTGTGCAGTTGAATTTAATTTTGGTCAGAAGGAAAAGCCATACTTTCCAATACCTGAAGACTCTACTTTTATCCAAAATGTCCCCTTAGAGGACCGAGTTAGAGGACCAAAGGGACCCGAAGAGAAGAAGGATTGTGAAGTGAGTTGTTAATGTGCTATCTGTAAAATGTTTATAATATTGAGCAAGATACACATCAAGCAAGGATGAATGCTTGGGAGGTTATATTGTTAATACTTACTGATAAATGATGAAGTTGTAAAAGAGTGTTGCTGTCTCTCCACCCCTACTGTAGGTTGTAATGATGATTGGCCTGCCAGGAGCTGGAAAAACTACCTGGGTTACTAAGCATGCAGCTGAGAACCCTGGGAAATACAACATTCTTGGAACAAATACCATTATGGATAAAATGATGGTAAGTAAAATTGAAATTAAAATGGCTAGCAGAGTGGCGGATAATTCTTAGGGCTACTTCACTGTGGCTTATTTCCATTAATATTTTAGACAGAATTTTGGCTAAAAATGATATACCTAGCTAATCTATCTTCAATAAAATACATTCAGTGACTGCTTCCTCCAGAAATTAATCCTTAAAAGCAATTTAAAGGGCAATTTAAAGTCATAAAAGCTCTTTATTTTGGTTTTTCAAGACAGGGTTTCTCTGTAGCATTGGAGCCTGTCCTGGGACTTGTAGACCAGGTTGGCCTCTAACTCAGAGATCCACCTGCCTCTGCCTCCGGAGTGCTGAGATTAAAGGCATGCGCCATCAGCGCCCAGCCCAAAGCTACATTTTTTTGTAGTAATGAAAGGATGCAATTGAATTGTTTTAAATGGTACCGGTGTCCTGTATGTATTTGAAAGCTTTTATTAAAAATATAACTTGAAGTATGCAAATTAAAATTTTCTTGGTAGGTGGCAGGTTTTAAGAAGCAAATGGCAGATACTGGGAAACTGAACACGCTGTTGCAGAGAGCCCCACAGTGTCTTGGAAAGTTTATTGAGATTGCTGCCCGCAAAAAGCGGAATTTTATTCTGGATCAGGTAAGCAGTTGCTGTGTAACTTTTAAGAAAACGTTAATTGATGAGGTGAAGGATTGTCTAACTCTTCTCTTTATATCCTTTAAGACAAATGTGTCTGCTGCTGCCCAGCGGAGGAAAATGTGCCTGTTTGCAGGCTTCCAGCGGAAAGCTGTTGTCGTTTGCCCAAAAGATGAAGACTATAAGCAGAGGACACAGAAGAAAGCAGAAGTAGAGGGGAAAGACCTCCCAGAACATGCTGTCCTTAAAATGAAAGGCATGGGATTTTTTAAAAAATTGTTAATGTCTTTGTGGTTTATGCCTGAAATACTCTTACCTCCAGTACATTTAAAGATTATACTAATCTTAGTAAATAGAATAGTGTTTGGCTGACTCTTCAAAGGTTGTCACTAAGCCATGACCAGATACTGTAATAGGTTGAAAGAATTAAAGATATTCAGAGATGATTAAAAGTTGTAGGATTTACAGTAGTTTTGCAAATTTAACTTAATCTGACTTTATTCTCTGTAGGAAACTTCACCCTGCCCGAGGTGGCTGAATGCTTTGATGAAATAACCTATGTTGAACTTCAGAAGGAGGAAGCCCAAAAGCTTTTGGAGCAATATAAAGAAGAAAGCAAAAAGGCGCTCCCACCAGAAAAGAAGCAAAACACTGGCTCAAAGAAGAGCAATAAAAATAAGAGTGGCAAGAACCAGTTCAACAGAGGTGGTGGCCATAGAGGACGTGGAGGATTCAATATGCGAGGTGGAAATTTCAGAGGCGGAGGCAAGTAAATTTTAGTGTTTGCTTAATTGAAATTTAGAAATGACTGAGGACTTTACAGTTTAAGTTTGAAGTAGCCAAGAAGGAAGTTTCTTAGCTAATTCTATGCTGTATGCTAGGTGTAGGTATACAAGTGTTAAAATGTGGTGTTGCTTGTTTTTCACTAATGCTATAACTTGACAGTAGGAATTGTACTTTGTTTACAGCATAACTAAACTGAACTCTGTTTGTGTTTAGCTCCTGGGAATCGTGGCGGATATAATAGGAGAGGCAATATGCCACAGAGAGGTGGTGGTGGTGGAAGTGGTGGAATTGGCTATCCATACCCCCGTGGCCCTGTTTTTCCTGGCCGAGGTGGTTACTCAAACAGAGGGAATTACAACAGAGGTGGAATGCCCAACAGAGGGAACTATAACCAGGTAATGGCTCCAAGAGGTGCTGACATCTATAATTTGGTGTAGAACGTTGACATAATTTCAATGGTGGCATTGAAATAATTGCAAAACAATTTATTGATCTTTGAATTTCAGATATACTGACAGTAACAACAATGAACATGGGTGGGGCTTTATATAGGGTTTCTAAATGCCCCTAAAAATTGAAAATTTTGTTTCAGAGTTCTTTGTTTACAGATTTTTTTTTTCTTTCATAGAACTTCAGAGGACGAGGAAACAATCGTGGCTACAAAAACCAATCTCAGGGCTATAACCAGTGGCAGCAGGGTGTAAGTAGTTTCTTAAGTGATTAATAAATTATAGTGTTTTTATGTTTACAAGTATCAGGTGGAAGTGTTCTATATACATTAGTAGGACAAGTTGTCTACTGTTAACGTGTTATAAATTATAACCATGGTTAGGATGGAGTTTAACAGTTTTTTAAGATAAAGTAATATTTATTACATATGGTTTTATTTTATTATGGCTTTTTAATAGTTTTAATTACATAAACTAACCCAAGTCTTGTGTTTCTTTTTGTAATGTGTATTGGTAAATAATATGGGTAATTGGTAAATTAAAACTTAAATCTCTGGTCTTACGTAGAAATTAAGTGTGACAAGTATAAATTTGTTTTCAGCAATTACTCTGAATTTAGATCATTGTCATTTCCTAAAAGCAATTTGAGTGGCTTATTGATGTTTTTTTCTTTAAAAACAAAATTTTCTCTTACAGCAATTCTGGGGTCAGAAGCCATGGAGTCAGCATTATCACCAAGGATATTATTGAATACCCAAATAAAACGAACTGATACATATTTCTCCAAAACCTTCACAAGAAGTCGACTGTTTTCTTTAGTAGGCTAACTTTTTAAACATTCCACAAGAGGAAGTGCCTGCGGGTTCCTTTTTTAGAAGCTTTGTGGGTTGATTTTTTTTTCTTTTCTTTTTTGTACATTTTTAATTGCAGTTTTAAAGTGATTCGTAAGAGAACCTCAGCATTGTGCACGATAAGAGAATGTGTCAGTATTTCAGGGTTCTACATTTTATCTGTAAAATGTGACTTTTTTTTTATCACAACAAAAGTAAAATGTTGCTTTGTACCTGGTGTCTTTTATTAAGCATTTACTCCCCCATTTCTCACAGAGAATAACAGTCGGGAGTCATTGTCACAATAAAATAGCAATGTTAGCAACCAGATTCATGGAAGGACTAAGTGTCCTCATGAATTGCACAAGATTCTGTACTGCTCATGATACACTCCATCCTCTCTGTGAACTGGTGGGTAATAATAGTGAAAGAAATTACTGACAAACCGGGAAGGCTTATTTTTTCTGTTCAACAACGGAATTTGGAACAATTGGGAATGAAGATAAAATTTGGAACCAAGATTTGAGAAGATGGAGTGTATGTAGAAGGGCTTTTAAAAATGTAAACTTGGTTGCATTATATGTGGAGGCTCAAACTTGTGAAGGTTAAATACCATAAATTTTTCCATTTGTTCTGCATTTTGATTCTGAAAAGAAAGCTGGCTTTGCCCATTTCTTATTAAAAAAAAACTTGTTGTAAATCCAGTTGTCTAATGGGATCTATATGAAGTTAGCTATGTCTGTATGCCCTTCTCCCATAAAATACTGTATAACTAGTGTGCTTGTAGTAGTTAACTCCACCATCTTTGTAAGCTAATGAAATTGTGAGTCACCCATTTATATCTTTTAATCATGTCAGTTCTCGAATGGGTATCTCCTTAGCCTGCTGATTTCTTTTTCTTTCTAAAGAAAGTGGGTGGAGAAATTAATTTAGACGTTTGTTTGCAATAAAAGAATTCATTTTACTCTTGTTTGGGATTCTCGCCATCAAGGTTCAAAATCCCTTTTTACTACAACTCCCAAGAGGAGAAATTGTGTGCTCTCTGGACAGCTTATTCTTTTACTTTGTACTTTCGAACATTTAGGTTTTAAAAACTTAAATGTACACTGACAATTTACAATATAAAGCTGAATTCTTCCCCTCCCCGCAAGACGACTTATAACATTTATGAGGGGCAAAGGTACTGGCTGGGAGAAGTTAATGGCTCAGTTGATCATGTTTACAAAATGCAAATGGCTGTCCTCACCTGATTATATACATATATGATACATGAAACGTTGGGAACAGATGCTTTTAGAAGCCATCATGCAAGCCAGTCATTGATTTCACTACTACACAATGCTGCTAACTTAACTAGCTATGTGATAACATTAGATCCCCAAATTGTAATTTTATTGGGTTTGCACAGAACACTTAAATCTTCTAAAGGAGCCTCACTATGAAGTGAGGAATCAGGAGTCAAACTGTAGAACTAAAATTAGAATTTAGTCTAGCATGCCAGTGTTTTTAGCCTGCTTCTGGTAAGTTCAGGTTTCCTGTATTGGTTGCTGTAGGATTTTGTTTAGGTATTTTAAATCCTGTTTTTTTTTTTTTTTTTTTTTTTTTTTTTTTTTTTTTTTTTTTATGTGAGTTTTGTTATACTTTGCTCCTGGAAATGCTACAAGCTAGTTAGATGAAACAGGTGGCCATAGAAATAATTGACACTAAAAGGTCTTGGTTGGCATTTGGTTTCAGCAGTAAATAAACTTACTGCTAGTAATCCCTTATGTGAGTAACTGCTGTATAGATACATTATTAGGACTGTTCCTAACCTGGGGAACAATTCAAACTTTAATTCAATCAGTATTGATCCCAGTATTTTAGTTTGTGCCATTCAAGTCTTGTAGACCTACAGACTCCAGAAACAGGAGAACAAGGGTCAACTGATGAAGTAGGACATGATGTGTATATGGCACAAAAATAGGGGAAAATTAAAATGCTTTCAAAGGGAGTGAGCTACACTAATAACTGCATCTGTGCTTAAAATCTCTTTGATTTAATAAAAGCAAATGCATTCAAAATCAGATCTGAAGGAAAAAATTGACTTAAGCCCAGTGGTGAGCAAAATTGAAATATTAGTTTGAAATAAGTATTGATTAGAAGAAAACAGATTTTAATTTTTTTGTTCAAGACACATGCTTTCGATCAAGCTGAGCATGGTATCACAGACTCATCTACAGAGGGGCAGAAGAACTACAAGCATGGGCTACATATTTCATAGTGAGGACCCTTTAAAGGTCTTCCCTTCCCCCAGTAACAAAGTACTCTTTGAAGAAACAATTAAATCCAATGCCTGCTGAGCAGAAGCTGGGGAAACGGCCTTTGTACATCAGTGGCAGAGAATTTGCTTAGCAATACTTAAAAAGGCAATGGGATTTGTCAACTGGTACTTAGGAAAATCTTGTACATTAATAACAAAGAAGTGTAAAAGTATATCAGAACAAACTGGCATAGTCTCAGAAGGACTGCAGTACATATTGAGGGCCTTGACTAAGAAGGCTTTTACCTCTTTAAACAATTTTTAGATTTATTATAGAAAAGTATTTTTAATTTGGTTAGATCATGTTTGGTATTTAATTATTTCCTGTTAATGGAAATTGACTTTTTTTGACGCTCATTAATGTAAACTACAAGTCCAATAGATTCTCCTGCACAAAAATACTTTAATACCTTCTTAGGTAGTATACAGTTGGTATAAAAGCCTAGTTGTATGTACATCAGTGTGAATATTTTTTTAATGTAGAATAAGCTTTAAAGTCCTAATTTTTTATATGAATGTAACATTTTTTATTAAAACGAACAGAATTTATAGCAGATTGCACTCCAGTATTCATTCAGTTTCCCCCAGAAAGATAAGAACAATGTTAATGGGTAAAATTCATGAGATTTGAGTAAGTTTTTTCTGTATTAAACATTCTTGGAGTTGGGTATTAGAAACATTTGAAAACTGCTAAATTGTAACTTGAAATAGTTGAGCCAAGATGTAGTTATTGATACCTATCAATTGAGGGCATAGTTAGGCAAAGGTTACTTGAAAGGACTTAGAATAAACCACAAATCTTTGAATAATTACCTTCATGTTTTGTTATTTAAAACACTTATTAGCTCTTCCTGGAGAGCATAGCCAGTTAGTGCTTTAGAGTTTTTAGTCCCTAGATTTTATTTTTATTTGGTATGGGTACATGCTTGTAAGAGACAAGTATTCAAAGAAGTTTGGCTAACTCATGTTGGACTGGCCTTTGTCTCTCGTTCATTAATATCCTTATCATTAACCTTTTTCCCTCCAAGCCCTTGGAAGTGATTTTTATAGTGCTGATTGAAGGAGTATGCACCCTTTGAATATTGGAGTAGAAGAATAGTGGTTAAAACCAGAGGTCTTCCAAGTATACTGTGTATGCTAGTTGCATTGTTAAACACAATCAGTCTCATGCCAAACAGTGGGTTCAAAGTAAGAACTTGGCTAGGAATAATATCTTTCCCCTTTGAGTAAAAGTACTTAGAAAATGAACTATCTTAAATTTATAATTACAAACCCTATGCCAGTGGACTAATGGGTGTGGAAGAAAAGTGATGGGCCGGTAACTAGTCACCTATCAATACAATCTTTGAGAAATGACTATGCCAAAATTAGCAACAGAAGGAAGTCGATGAGGGAAGGTTTATTTGAACACAACTGAGCCTTCCATATAGGGAGATTACTGTATTCTGAGTCATTAATGACAATTTAGGATACTGTTTATTCTGAACAGCCATCCTCTAGGAAGGTTGTGCAAGCATTTCTTTTGGACAATTGAACACCTTGGGTGACAGTGACATAATGCCATGTTCAATTTGTATAAGTTAATTTCTGGAGTTTGCTTGGGTTTGAGTGAGCGAACAACACTGAATTGTTCACCTGCTTTCCTTAAACCATCCCATTGGGTGAAACTAGAAAATAGTTTACCCACTAGAAGGAAATCTTAGACATGGAGGACACCTAAAAGTTACTGACCAAAAATTGAAGTCCACAGACCAAAATTTGGTGTGAATTCAAATTATTAAAAGCATACCTAGATAAAAATATAGTTTGTCAACTAAGTATCTAGCCAGTTGAGATGGGGAGGAATCATGGACAAGTGACAAGAACAGAATTCCAGCATACTTCATTTTCTTGTAGCTTAGTAATAAAAGCAATGTGTTGATTTAAATTTCATCTCCTTTTTCTTAGTCTGTCCATGTGACTGTGCTGTGTTGAAGAGTAAAAGGGGCCCAACTAAATGTGTTCCAGTGATTCTAATAGGTATTCAAATTAATTGCTGCTTGTATATTAACCAGTTATGCTAGGTTTTCAGGATCACCTTACACAAAGCTATTGCAATTAAGGACGGGACAATTTCTAAGCTTTCCTGATTTTGCCTTTTTCAGAAGTGAAGTGTTTGGCAATTGACAACTATTTCTAGGTTTGCAGGAATTTATCTTTAAAAAGACTCCACCCAAGTTTTAAGACATTTAAGACATTTGGCCTATTTATTACCAAACAGACCTTTAGGTTATTTTCTGACCTAGATTACCAATTTTTTTTCTTCTGCTCTGACACTAATAACAGCCTTAGAAAATTTGGGAAATAGGTTGTGTGGGCTTTTTGAAGTAATGAGGTGATACATTGAAGTCCAAGATTAAATGAGAAATAAGCTGAAACCTAGAAGATCCTAAAAGTTAATGGGAAAGTGTGGTGTGAACTTTGCGCCATCCCTGGGGCATTTACTATAATAAACAAAACACAATGTCACCTAGACGTTTCAGCTTTGTGGGTTTATATAGTGAAAATGCTGTACCCTTAAAAGGGCAATTTAACAACTTTCAGTGAGGAGGCAGGCAAGGGTTTTGACTACTGTTAGGGGGGAAAGGTGCAGAAAAACATAAGTAGGCTTTAAGTTTGTCTGGCAATGCAGACTTTCACATCATGGTATAGAAGCATTTATTCAAACATCTTTTTATAGTGCATGCAGATTGGTCTTCCAGTGCTGTCCATAAACAGGTGGTTAGGAGATTCAAGTACTTGAGTTCCCTTGTTCTACACTAAAAGTGAACATTAGAAATATTTGTCTAGCCAGGTGTTAGTCTTAACATTTCTGTCAATATCTTCATTTGAAACTGGGTGTAGTAAATACAGTTAAAATACTCTAATTTCAGCCACATGTGCTTATCTAGTAGTTGGGCAGCCATGACAGGATTATATAACTTTTAATCTAGTAGTGCTTACACTTAACTGTAAACTGTAACACATTGAAAAGTTTCTCTAATTTTTTTCTTGTTGCATCAGCTTTGCTTTCTCAAAAAGTTGAAAATATTTAAAGTTGGACTTAAATACAAAAATACCAGTATTTGGGTGGTAGTAATGGATACTGGCTATTATATAAACCTGATAATTACTAGACCATTAAGCTGCTTCAAAATTGATTCTAGAGGACCGTTATAAGTCAGAATTATAGAAATTGTTTAATTTTCCTACTTATTAAGGTCTGGTACCCAAAGAATAGTGTATATTAACATGACTTTTAAAGGGGTGCTTTGACACCTGTCACAGATTTTTATCTAGGAATAGAAGGATTCAAACCCTATTTGATCCTTAGCTCTTTGCTGAAAAGTGCATAAACAGGAATCCTGAATTTATTATATAGACCTCCGCATTATATAATCGAAGCAAAGGGAAACCATCGATGGAGTTAGAGGTACGTAGACTAAAAAGATGCTTGCAAATCAAATACTGGTTTTAGCATAGTTGAGATTTATTGTTGCCAAATTCAGTCAACAAGTCACAAGTCCAGAAAAGGCTGTTCTATTAAATTTCCCTGAGGTCCTTTTACTGAGATGGAGAAGCAAGGAATTACAGAGGGAGGGGTTAAGGGAGGAGGGAAAGTAATACAGCCTAGGATGTTAGATAAAACTACCAAAAGAAACTTCAACACTACTAACACTACAATTCTATTTTAATCAGCTATTTAGCTGGTACCTACTGCCTTATCACCTAGTATGAAATTTGGGATTATCGGAACCATGAAGGAAGCAATGTGCACAAGAGGGCGTTGAAGGTAGGTTGAGCTTAAAATCTGCAATATAATTTTGGGTTTGGGGTGGACATGGTATCTTAGACCCTACCTAGTAAATACATAGCACTGTAACTCAAAATTAAGCCTGACCTTTTGGGAACCTACATGTGTGGCTCGAGGCAAAATCACCTACTAAAGGCACACCCTGTTTCTGAGGAAAATGGAAGGTTAGCAAAGGTTTCTGGCAAGCTTGGAGATTCTGGTGTTGTTTGGGTTGGGATGACAGTAGGTTGAATTAAGCTGGTCCTAGTAATTATACCTGTAATACCAGCATTGGGATGCTTGCAGTGAGATGAGTACAAGACTAAAAACACAGTGCTTGCAGAAATAATAGAAAACATTCCAGGGAAGCCAAGAAAACTTAAATGCTTTGTGGCTCTTTTTATTCAGTTGTGCTGCTGTGAGACTGAACTTTGTAAGTAATGAAGATACTGGAAATGTTACTGGCCAAGAAAGGTTTCTCTTTCACGGTAAGATAATAACTGCAGTATGATAAAGCTAGAACTTAAATCAACAACCCTAGGTTCAATCTGAGAGCCTAAGAACACTCACTGCACAACTTGTTAGAATTGAAAATGGTGCCATTTCACCATTGACAAACACTGCAAATTCCCTTTTATCAATGGCTAAGTCCTGAGGTGGTTACCAGCTGAAAACTTCGTAATATGTGTGTGTAAAAACCATCATTGACTGGGTAGTTGTGCAAGTCTGCACCCCACCCTTCATGGTGATCAAAAGGAAAGAGAACAGAATAATTTCAGAGATTGTCCTTTGGGTCATCCTGACAGCAGTAGGACCAGTAATGGATATCCTTGTTGAAGTGCACTTTTTCCTTCAGTCTGGTTTAGTGCATTCAACACATAGGAAGGTTTCACACCCCTGTGTTTTTTTGAATGAGAATTGTGCAGTGTATAACAAGCATACTGTACTGGCTTCCAAGACCAGAAACGTTTTCATGCAAGTGACACAATACATAAAATTCACACACAATGAGCTTTTTTTTATTGTACACAGTATATACACTTGTGGTGTTCCAGAAGAGTAAGTAGTTCACTTTGGGTTCTTTATGCTTAGGGTTGCTCAGCTGTTGCTACTGCTCTTGAGTTTTCTTTCGGGATCAAGGTGGGTGCTTTCATATAAAATCTTATTTTTAATTCCTTCTCTGGCGATTCTCTCCTGGATTCTCTGCTTAGCAAAATTATACCTACAATGGAACCTTAGAGAAAATATGAAAAGAATTACTAGTTTCTATATGACCCAAGGGATTTTAATTTCACACAGATTTTCAAAATGACTACTCCCAAATATATTTAAGGTGTTAAAATGATTGTATCTGTTGTAGAATGTGTATACTGGAGAAATCCCTTGGGTTCCGTTTGGCTCACTATTTAAATCACTTTCATATTTTAATGCAATCCCCTGCCATTCATCTGTTCAAATATACAATGAATGCATTGCCATAGTCTTAGGACAGATTTTTATTTAAAAAAAAAAAATTCCTTATCTGAGTGTTGTGGCTTTAATCCCAGTAGCACTCAGGAGAGGATGCCACAGGGATCAGCCTAGTACTACTACACTGGGGGGGGGAGGGGTCAGCCAGGACAAAAACCCCTCCCACAATGGTTTGTGAAGGTGGTGGTGGCATGCACACACCTTTAAACCTAGCACTTGGTGTGGGGCAGAGTTCAAGACCAGCCTGGTTCCAGGACAGCCAGGACACAAGAAATCTGAATTTTCTGGAATATCTAACAAACTTACCAGCATCCTAAAGTCACCAGGATAAATCCTCCTACTCCAACATCACATGATCTCCTAATCCTACCTGTCAAAAACAAGTGAAGTATATATAATTATGTTTGTAAAAAACATTTTACCCCAGAAATGTTTAATACTTAGAAGAAATACTCACTGGTCGTCAAGAAATGTCCAAGTCCAGCCACAACTGATCCTAGTGAGCCATATAGAATAGATTCTCGTGCACATGGAATGTTCTCAACATCTAAAATTCCTAGGAGCTTAAAGGGCTAGGATAAAATGAAAAAAATCCTAGACTGAACAAGAAAATAGTTAAAAGTGCTACTATAAATATTACCACTTACTAGTTACAATAAGTGTGTCCTATCTAATTTACCACTTGGGCAAATCAGTTTGAATATAGTGCCACTTAAAATTCACTGGGTGAACATAGTAATTGCAGGAAGAAATACTTCATATGGTCATTTTTGTATTTGAACAAATAGCTTTATACTTTGTCCAAGGACATCTGTTGCTCACTTGGGGAATGGAATGGAAACAGACTTGACATTCTTAGACACTGGTAACTTGTGATTGCAATCCAGAAACTTGTAGCAAGAAGGTTGCTATAAACAGAGATTGGTCTGAGCTCTAAGAGAAAAAGTCTCAGAAGCAAGATTGTAACTTGGTAATTTAGCATGTGTGAAAGAAGCCACCTGTGTTGGGATTCCAGCACTGGAAGGAAAAACAGGTCTGGATAACTGAATGTCTTCTACGGTGCCATTTAATGCAACTAAAGGATTGCATAAGAGATGGCACCTACAATGGAAGTGAATGGGTGGGGGGGAAGGACAGCAAAGTAAAAGGCAAGTCAGGTCCTTTAAAGATGGAGGCAGAACTGAACCTTGCCTATGTCTTTCTTACTGTTGGCTCAAGGATCTGCTTGAAGATAAAATGTGACTTTGATTCTCATTAAAGTAAAATTATGCTTTCTCAGATAACTGTTTCTGGCTTGTTTTTTGCTTGTATCACACACCCAACTTTTAGGTGTCTTCATCAATGTAGCAGGCCTTTGTAGTTGTAACCTTTATGGGCTGGGCTCACATAAAATAGGTCATGGCATTCCTAAACTTTAGAGCCTAAACACCCTCACCCTGAGGAATCAGATGGGGTAGTGGGTCCATTTAGCTTAGGTTTCCATCCATAACATGGAATGAATACAATGCTACAAAATGGGAACCTAGTCAAGATGAAGTATGCAACTGCATCCTAATCCAAGCCACCTTGGTTAGATTCTCTATTGTGATTGAGAAACCGTTGGTCCTTTGGGCAAATCAAAGTGTTCTTCCAGAGCTTTCAATGCATCTAAGATATGCTTGGGTTGACCCAGCAGTTCTTGGCACGTTATCCCTAGCACCTGTGGTTTCCAAAGGGACACGGGCATGCTGTGCACCAGGCATACCAGCACAGGTGAATCATCCTTTTGATCAGAACAACTTAACTCAATTGCACAGGATCACACTTGGCCTTAACGTTAAACTTATGGTTGATGGGCAGGTCCTCCACCAGTGTTCCCAATCTTTTTGCTCTTTTTTTTCTTTTGAGTACTGATGCTATTTGGATGGGTGCTCATTGGGGCAAGGACAATATCTTATGGCAGTCCTGCTTACAAGGGCTCTAGGGATTGAGCTGACCAGATCACTAGCCCCAATCAAGCTACCACTTTTCTGGTCCCTTTTTTATGGCATCACTGACATTACATAGATACCTTCCACCTATACTCCCATTCTCCTTTGTTTTGAGCAACAACCCCTGAATGGGTATAAATAATCAGTCAAGGCCAGTTATTCCACCGGCCTGGATTTACCCTTGTGGCCCCAAGTTTTTCTGTCAAATCCTATTTAGACGCTTTCCTGTTAGTGGAACTTAAAATTGTACTTAGTTGTCTTATTCACTCATAAGTATCTGTCAAGTCACATTTACCCTTTGTACTACCAAGTTATTCAATCAGTAGTACTTTAGGCCTCATCATGGCTTTTGGTTGTACTTAGAACTAACCGTTAGCTACTAAAAGGCCCCCTAAGCTGAGAGGAGCTTTGCATTACATTCTCCACTCCGGACACACACCACAGGGCGGTTATCTCCGGTCTGACTTAATTGAAATTCGACCGTTTACCCCAGTAGGTTGTAGGCTTCATAAAGAGCGGAGACTCTCCTTTTTGATTACAGCCCAATACACGCAGTACTCAATGCATTAGCGAATTTACCTTACCTGTGTGCACGAGGGCTAGTACGTTACAAGCTAGCCCAGGCTGTCCGTGCCTCAGCCTCCTAAGTGCTGAGATTACTGACACGTGTCACCTCGCCCAGCTCTCGGGAGAAATTTTCATGGACCCTTTATTAACCCTTGCTATCGAAGTACAATGCATTGCTAGGTTAGATCCTGCGGGTCTGCTCTTGCGTTTGCATCAGCTGGCAATTTGGCACTCACACCGGGACGTGAGGACTAGATTGCCGGAATCGCTCCCGGTCATGGGGACTGGGCTAGGAAACCGGGGCGCCCTCCTGCGCGCCCACCCCCGCGTGTCCCTCGGCGTGCTTTACCTTCCTCTCCGGCTCCTGGGGCTCTCGCGCGGCAGCCATGGGTGCCAGTCGTCACTTCCGGCCCGCGACGGAAGCTGAGGGCCCTGCCCACCCTCCCTCGCCGGCGGCCATCTTAGGGAGCGTTCCTGTGACTGCGCCCACGCCTGCCGTGGCCCCCTCCTTTGTTCCACGGCCCACGACAGTTTTTCCAGTCCCGAAAGCGGCCGTCAAGAATGGAACGAGAGAGGAGGCAGCCTGGAGAAGCGCCACCGGCTCCTGTCTCGCCAGCGGGGTGACCCGAGCCAGGGAGCGCCTAGAAAGTTCGCTTCCCCCAGCCCCTCCTCTGCCTTAACCGCCATTTCCAACCGTTGTGCGCGTTCCCGTGCCGGGCGTCCGGGCGCGCGCCGAGGGCGGGGCCGCGCGTCGCGCTCCGCTTTGTCCTCGGAGAGGGCGGGGGTCGGGGGTGGACGGCCCGCGCTGCCGGAAGTCGCCTAGCCCTGTTCCCGTAGGCCCCGTCTCCCACGCGTCCTTTGTCCCGGCTTCGGTGACCTTGGCGGCCGCTGGCTTCCCCTGCCTCCGTCCCTCGCGGCTGCCTCCCGGCGTACCCGCGCCCCTCCCCTCTCCCCCTCCTCCCCAGGTTTAGAAGGTTAAAAATAACAGCGCGCCGCTGGCGTGGAGGAGACCCGGGACAAGATGGAGGCAGCCGCTAGCTGGGGACGTGCGCCAGGCGCGCGTGTCTTCCGCCAGGAGGGAGGCCGTGGGGTGATGCCACGGCGACATAGCGGGGATGAGCCCCGAACGTGTGTGTCGTTGGGCTGAGTGACAGCCCGTTCAGCAGGCGGTAGCGGCTCGGTTCCCGGGTTGATGCCTTGGTCCAGCCTTGGGCCTCTCTTTGTTTACCTCTCTTTTTCCCGATTTGGCTCTTCCGTTCCAAACGGTCCTCCCCGGAAAACGTTCCAGCCTGGCATTGTGCAGAGTCATTCTGTCTCTAGCGTGGTGCACTCTAGCGTGGACTCAGCCTGTCCCCAAACCACATTCAACATAGTAACAGTTTTATGAAGTTTATATGGTAACAAAAGTGAAAAAACATTTTTAAAACACACTGATGGAAACATCAGGTACGGGAGACCTCTGGCTGTAGATTTTCTATGATGATGGTCTTTGAGATTGGGCAAACCAGTGTTCTGTTTATACATTCTGAAAGGATAGCTACGAGGAGAGATGTTAGGCTAAACAGAAGTGGGAAGTGGCTGTCGAGGAGGCTGAGGACAGCCTCAGGTAATTGGCTCCAGGCCTATATTGTCACAGTGGAATCAACTGACCTTGTAGAAGTTTTAACCTGGGAGGGAGGTGAGGTGTGGTGCAAGTGTGGCTTTTTTCCTTGGGAACTACAGTTCGCAAAGCAAAAGGGCAGTTATGTTTTTCCAAACTGTTTCCTTTCCTTAATTAAGTTACTACACAAATACATAAATTTTCAGTCCTTTAAAAAAAACACTGGATGCAGGTGTATTGACTATCACCTGGAATCCCACACTTAGGTTGAGAGAATTGTGATTTCAAGGCCAGGTACAAAGTGAGACTGTGTCTCAAGAAACAAGTTGATAACTCACTGGAGGGCTGGAAGGTATAGTTCAGTGGGAGAGTATTTGCTGAGCACACCCAAGGACTTGTTTCAAGTTTGATACCTAGGCTGCTTAATACACACACACACACACACACACAAAGTTTTTTAAGAGTTTTTTTTTTATTGAGCTCTACATTTTTCTCTGCTCCCCTCCCTGCCTCTTCCACCTTCAACCTTCTCCCAAGGTCCCCATGCTCCCAATTTACTCAGGAGATCTTGTCTTTTTCTACTTTCTACTTCCCATGTAGATTAGATCTACGTAAATCTCTTTTAGTGTCTGCATTGTTGTCTAAATCTCTGGGATTGTGGTTTGTAGGCTGGCTTTCTTTGTTTTATGTTTAAAAACCACCTATGAGTAAGTACATGTGATAATTGTCTTTCTGTGTCTGGGTTACCTCACTCAAAATAATGTTTTGTAGCTCCTTCCATTTTCCTGCAAAATTCAAGCTGTCATTTTTTTCTGCTGTGTAGTACTCCATTGTGTCAATGTACCACATTTTTCTTATCTAGTCTTTGATCGAGGGGCATTTAGGTTGTTTCTAGGTTCTGTCTATGACAAAGCTGCTATGAACATAGTTGAGCACATGTCCTTGTGGCACGATTGGGCATCCTTTCGATATATACTCAAAAGTGGTATTATTGGGTCTTGAGGAAGGTTGTTTCCTAATTTTCTGAGACATCGCCACACTGACATTCAAAGGGTTTGTACCAGCTTGCATTCCCACCGGCAATGCAGAAGGACACACACAAATTTTAAAACCTACCATAACCTGCCAGAATCCATGTGGTAAAAAGTAAGTCTCCAATCTATTGCATGCATCTTTTTTACGCCATCTCTGTTTGATTGTAGTAGGCCTGCCCTGTCAGCTGCGCTTTCTTTTCTATCTTTGGTCATTCTTGAGAATTTTTATGAAATGAATGCAGTTGTAACATTTGCCGAAAGCAATTGTTTACAGAAGTGGAGAGGTAACAGTTAAATGGTCAGGCAGTGAGCCTTTATTTAGCTCAGGGTCATATTGTTCAGGAATTTGGGGCAGGTTTAGAGACCAGTTCACCTTGGGAATTTATATGGCTGTTCCAGAGACCAGTGTACCCAAGACAGCACTGACAGTATTCTTAGGATTTTTTTTTTTTTTAAGGACTTCTCTGTAGGTTCGGAGCCTGTCCTGGAACTAACTTTTGTAGACCAGGTTGGCCTCGAACTCACAGAGATCTGCCTCTCGAGTGCTGGAATTAAAGGTGTGCACCACACTGCCCTGCTCTTAGGAAGTTTTTTGATGGGATGGTCTAACTATAGTTCAGTAGTGGTCTGCTACACTTCTGCCATGTGGGTTGTAGGGACCGAACTCAGGTCTTCAGGCTAGGCCGCAAGCTGCTGCACTGTCTTGCCAGCCCCTGCTTCCTCCTTTCGTAAGATCAACTTTCCATAGCTTTTGTGCACTTTACATAAAGTTGGCTGTAGCTCAGCGGTAGAGCATGTGCTTACCATGAGGGAAGTGTTGGGCTCCATCTGCAGTGTCCTACAGACCAGTTGTTGATGGTCTTAGTTCACTGCCACTCTAGCCAAACCCTGTACGGCTAGTTTCTTCTAGTTCAGTTGCTTTGCTAATCTTGCTTATGGAATTTTTCAGTTTTCAGATACTTAACTTTTCAATGTAGGGTCACATCTACCAACGCATTCTTTCATAGACTTTTAAAGAACTATTTATTTACTTGCAGGCATGTGTGCTTTGTGTGTGTTAGTGCACGCACTACGGTGTGCATGAGGAAGTCAGAGGACAGCTTGTGGGAGTCAGTTCTCAGGGAATTGAACCCAGAATATCAGGCCTGGTAGCAAGCTCCCTTACCCGCTGAGCAATCTGCTCCCCACCCCCACCCCTTGCATAGTTATAATATAGTGTTGCTAGATGTAGCACTATGAAACCGCAGTTATTTATTTAGAGGGCTTGAAATATATCTTCTGTCTTCTCTTGGGTTTGAGCCACCCCTCTTGCCTGCCATTTCCACTAGCCATTTATTCGAAGAGGAAAGCGGACAATTTTTCCCTATCATTTCCTCTCTGTTGGGGCTGGCTGACTGGGTCCAAGTTGTTCCTTCATCTCCTGTGAGGCCACAGCGTTGGCAGCTTCTCTGGGTTCAGGTTTAACTGTGTTGGTGAGACTGCTCCAGAATGGTGCCATGGGCTTCTTGTCTTTCACTTTCAAAGATGGGGGGTTGGGGTGGGGCTGCAGCCTTTGAAGACCCCTGGGGTCAGCATGACCCTCTCAGTCCCGGTATTCCTAGCAGCTGTTGAGACCTTCAGCTTAAACTGTGACTTCATTTGTAGCTCCCTCCATCCCTCCCAGGTTTATTAACTGGAGTCGTAATGGAGGACTGGGGTTACTATGAAGCTAGCAAGTGAGGCTTTGGGGTGACGGAGCAAGATTATGGCAACATGAACGCATGCGCATGCCGCGCAAGAGCTGTTCCCTCAGCCCTTATTTTGCTTTTCTTAAAAATGACATGTATTTGTTTATTCCCTACGCCTTTTTCCTCCCAGTCCCCACTTGTTCAATCCTGAGGCTTGGCTGGGAAGGTTTTATTGTAGTAACTTATTAAATGATCTGCAACCCAGGCTGGAGGTGGAATCACTTGGTAGGTACAGTGCCGCGCTTTCATCTCCAGCACCAATGCAGGGCACGCTGGTGCCCGCCTGAAGTCCCAGCACTTGAGAGTGGAGGCGAGAGATTCAGAAATCCAAGGTCATCCTCAACTGCACAGCGAGTTTGCGGCCAGCCTGGGCTACATGACACCCTTTCTAAAAGACAAATACCAGTCTGTTTTAATCCTGTGTCTTTCGGGGCAGGGACTCAAACCCAGGCTGATCACGTACACTCTCAGCTACAACCACAGGCTCCTAGCTTGAAGGAGGAGAAAGCTACAGAATTTTCATTCTGTTTGCCAGATTATTCCGTAGATTATCAAAGGGTCATGCATAACCTTGCCCTTGCCTTTTCCTGATAGGCAAGAGGGATCCGCAAGCATTGAAAATCCCCCTTACTTGTGAGCAGAGACGCTATGGGCAGTAAATTGCGCAGCCTAGTGGCCAATGTTTTTATTACAGTTACATTGTAATGGGAAAGAAATGCAAAGCCAGTTCCAAAAGCTTCAAAAAAGTTACAAAAGTTACCAAGAGTCTACAATTAAATGTATGTGTGTGTGTGTGTAGGGCCAGGGCGCTAAGGTGGAGGTCAGAACAATCTGAGACAGTTCTCTCCCTCCTTGTGGGCCCAAGGATAGAACTCAGGCTGTCAGGCTCGGCAGCCAGTTTCTCTACTGACTTAGATATCCCACTGACTCTGTAAACTTTTGTCGACTATGGTTTTTAAGTTTTTTTTTTTTTAAATAAAACACAGGTGCAGAAAATTGCACAAAACCAAATGTATAGCTCCTCTTAAGGAAAACAATCTCATAATTAGTACCTGGACCCAGAAATGCAGTTCGCCAGCCTCAGTCTCAGAGGACATGAGTCCCATCCAAGCACAGGTAGGCTGCCGTGCAGCTAATGAATGTTCTTGAGAGTGGACGCTGCACACTGCGAGCACCCCCCGGGGACTCAGGACTAGATGTCTCCAACCGCTTTGTGATGGTGGGACTCTAGCAGACACAGGGGCTGGGGCTGGGGTGTGGAAGAGGAGGAGGGCAGTGAGAACACCGCCCCCCTAGGAACTGCTGCCAAACCTCACCAAGGGCATGGCTAGAGAGAAGGGGAGCGACAGAGAGAACTTTGTCGATGTTGTCTGAGACGCTGGGAAGAGCTGTTTGTCAGGAGTGTTTCTCCTGCCCATTCCCTCCCAGGCTTCTGAGAGTCTGGGAGGTTTGGAGGGAATGCCTTGAGTTTGGTGAGTGTCTGTCAGACCTTAGATCTCACCCAGATAAGACTGTTTGCCTTGGCTAAACAGTTTCAGCTCTTTCCATGTACAGAAAAAACTGGCTTGTAAATGGGCCAACCCTTCACCACATTACTGAAGTTTTCCAAGTCACAGGCGCTTCTAAGCCTGGGGGATCTGCAGCTTTTGGATTCCATCGTCAATAATCCAGCGCAGAATGGCAATGTTGTGCTGCTAAACCTGAGTGTTCTGTGTTTTCTGATTCGCCTTGAAGGTCTCGATAAGCTGCTTCTTCAGACGGGACAGGCTGACCCTCACGCGGTGCTACAGCGCTATCGCAGAGCACAGAGAACATCTCACAGCTGGATTTCAGTGGCCACCGAAAGCATAG